GATAAGCGAATAGCATTAAACATGACTGCTGAGAAAACAAACAAAGCATTCTTCTCGGGGTGTCAATTGGTGGCACACAAACAGCTCCATCCAGTTCTACCAACCATACCCGAAAAGGAAAACTCCGCCGAGCTCTGCGCTCACTTTGACTCAGCAGCACACAGACTTAGGATTCATTCTTATTATTAATAAAAATATTCATCATACCCTCATATGCATGATGTGCGAGGAGTTCCAAAGCAGTCTAAAAACTGAGAGCAGATACAAACCGGACTCTTTCTCTGCTGCATAATTATTAATATAGCCTTCCTATGTATTTAAATATTGTGTTACATTTGTAACAATTTAGTGCATCTAATTCTGCTGATATTTGTCTACAGTAGACTGCAAGTATCATTATATTAATGTTTCACACAAATCAATATTTAAATTGAAAAACGACAGCGTAATATCCGTATCGCACAACTTTTTCATTGAAAGCAGTAGGAATAGAGTTTGATAAATGTGTTAAGTCCTGCAAAAAGGGGCTCTTTTGCATTCACTGCGTGCTATTATTATAATTTATCTCTCAATGCAAAAATTCCTTCACTTACAACAAGCCCCCTAAAACAAACCGCACAGTAACTCCCAGAATTTACTATTTTCAGATAAGCCAGCAAATGTGCCAAATTCAAAAATAAAATGAAGGACCTTAAAAATAGCTATAAAATAAAATGAATCCCTGCTCCTACTTAAATGAGTATTGACAACTACGTCCACGTTTATCCATTACAGAGGGCAGAAAAAAACAACACCTGGAAGTACAGATCTGGTAATCAACATCAAGATTGCTGCTGAAAAGCAGCAAGGAGCACTACCAGTGCTGTGCTCTGAAGGCACGCTGCAGGTACAGATTCTGCAAGACAAAGTATCCCAATTTTGTCTAATGAAAATGATCACCATGGCTGCCTGCAGAGGAAGCGCCCTGTTAGAAATTCACCAAAGGGAGAACTGTGATTGTGAATACGTTTGAACCAGATGACCAAACGACACACGGGATATTTATCCAATTTGTTTTTTTCTAGAAGGACATTAATGAAGAAAAGCAATGCCTCTGCCATAAGGACAGTGTAACCAACCCAATATTCTACCGCATGTCTTCGTTTGTAACACATTTGCTGACAATTAAAAAAAATACCATTCAGAAGTAGAACCGATGATTCAAGGAAAAATTTAGGACACGAAGCATGAGAAAGGAAACAAAAGCTAAACAATTTCACCAAAGAAAAGATGCACGCACATAAACACACAGTTCTTAAGCAGTCTTATGCATCTCCTTATGCAGTCAGGGTACATCAGAAATAGGTATTCAGCATCTTGAAAATAACACCAGGACTGCACATCAGGATTTTAAATAGCTAAACTGAGAAACAATAACAGCACAGTTGTCTAACATACGTATACACGTATACACATACATGTACACATGTGCTGTCAGTGCTGTTTCACTGTTTCATTTGACTCCTTTAACGTTCAGATAGGATTGTTAGGATTGCATATTATTATAAATTATTGCAAGTTAGTTGCATTAAATAATGATTTACCAACAGTGAAAATCTGAGATTTATGTAACACAAGGGAACGATACTATGCTACAATTAAAAAAAAAAAAAAAAAACAGTGAAAAAAGGGGTTAATATCTTCAAATTTTTGTAGGAGAAGAGGCAAAAAGCGAGTTCTTCTCGGCAAGTCACCTATCAGGCAGCTTACAGATGGTGCAGCATATTGACAAGGGGTGTTTCTGAAAGAGTTGGGCCATTTTCATCAATAATGAGCTCTGCAGCACGTAAGGGCACGATACAGACCTTTAATCTTCCGAACAGCCCTGTATGGCAGCTTACAGTTAAAGCAACAAAAATGTTTTAGCTTACGTGAAGAGCAGCAAGAAATGAAAGCCGTGGTTAATTTCACTATTTGTCTGGCCTATTTTTTTTTTCATTAAAACAAAATTCTGTACAAGAGGAGAACATTTTTAATGAACATTTTCTTCCTCACTCCTTAGACATAAAAAATAGTTCAAGCAGCCCAACCAGCCGAGCAGGCCTTTTCTCCCCCTGCGGACACCTCCTGCAGTCGAGAAGTTCATTAAGTTTTATGATCTTCCCAAGTCAGTCCTGCTTATAAGCCTCACAAAGGCCACAAATCTGGCAAACCATCATGTATGCCATTAGGCTTTACTAGTAAATGAATGCTATTTAGGGTTTGCGGTGACAGTAAATTAGGGTTTGGTTGGCAGCTATCATTGTTTTTGTTGGACTTACGCAAATAAATAAATAAACGTATCTATGACTGCATATCTGCATTCAGACATTTTTATAAATGTATGCTCCTACCCATAGAAAAGATTTTTGAAGACAAAAAAATCATCTATCAACACAGTCGCAGATGTACTCCTATGTCATCCCACTGGGAAATAATTGAAATTCTCTAACTGTTTTAAGATTGTAAGAATTAATACATTTTCATTTCTGTCTCCATGAGAATAACCAGTACCTCAGGTCAGCACTGTGCTAACGGAGGATTAATCAAAGCACAGATCCGAAGGATGCGCAGTGCACAAATAGGAGCGATTAAAAAACACAAAGGTGCAGCTCAGTTCTGGATTGCTGCTGGTGGGCGCCGAGACAGACGGACACTCAGGAACGCAACAGATGTGCCGCGCGCCCTGAGTGCGGACCGAGGGCTTCTGCGTGGCACCTCGCAGAGCAGGCACAGCACAGCAGTGGGAGCCCGCAGGCCCCCGGCCGCCTGTCTTCATGTGTACCAGAGGGGCTTCGCTAGAACTCTGGGCAACATTTTTCCTTGAACTAATTAAAGAAATGAGTGGCACTTAGTTTCTTTATGAAAACCATGCTACCTTGTGGTTGCCTCTAAGAATGCACGTTTCTATTAATACCTGCAAAGCCTTTAAGTGTATTATGCAGCACTTTCTTAAATGTTAAAATGTTAAAAAAGAAATGTCAGGCTAAATTCGGCAAGCATGGTGATTTGCTTTGTATGTGGCAATACCTCACAGGAAAAAAAACGACCGCCTAACCCTAAGAGCACAGCAAAAAGGCTTCAGATGTGATGCATCCATTAACTCATGCTGGGATGTGACGGCGCTGCTCGACCTAAGCTGGGGATTCCTCCACTTATTGTCTCACTGCCGCCCTCACAAAGTACTCGCTGACTGTACCGAACATTACTAAAACATAAAAAAAGGACATAATTCAACGTAAATATGACTTAAATATTGCATTCCTTATTTCAGAGCAGACACGACTGCGATTGCACGCTGTGCACCAGCTGCAGGCTCCCTTCTCACCCCCGGTAAGGGAGCAACGAAGCCATCACACGGATCCTACTGCCAGCACCAAGGTAAACTTCGGGTCTGATGAAAAAGCATTGAATCCCAGAGCACAATCCAATTCGGTTCCCTGGACCATGACACAATGCAGACAATGAGGGGAGGGGGAGCCCCTTCCTTAACTGCCTCTCAGACTGCCTGTCCTCACAGTTCAGAACTGTTTGACCTGTTCCCTATGAAAACAGTTTACAGGAGACACGCCAGGATTTGTGCTCCCGCTCTCGGTGCTGCAGCATGCTGACCAGAGCCATGCTGACACCAGAGCTCCAGCAGCACCAGATGCACATCCCCAGGATCCAGCTCTTGTCTGCCACAATCCACACCCCAGGCAGGTGCTGCTGGGGCTGGCAGGCACTCCTTACCCCAGGGGGTCCCCCCTTTTCCCTGGGGGTCCTCAGCTGTTCTACCAGAGGCAACTTGCAAACTTGGCTGGGCTGCTTGGAGCACAAAGGCTGAATTTCAACTCACACATTGTCACTGAACCACTCAAAAGCATTTCAAATCTCACTATCTTCTCAGGTTCCCTCTTACTTCTGCACGAATAGCAGCCCCAGCAAACACTCACTGCCAGCAGCAACCCCCGGACAGCCCGGGATGTTCCAGAGCCACCCCTGCCAGAGGCTGGCTGTGCTCCCCAATCCCCCGCAAGCACAGGGCTGCAGGACCCCAGGACCCGCGCCCGCTCCGGCTCACCACAAGCAGGGGCCGCTGCCAGCTCTGCTGCACGGGCACAAAGTTCAGGGAAGGAAAACAAACAGGAGCTGTGGACGGAGGGGCACCGCGCAGGCAGGGGGAGGCAGAGGGGATCGCTCTCCTCATCCGAGGTAATGTCACGCAGTATAAGGCGGAATCAATCTTAATATTTGCAGCGCAGCCAATATCCAGCCCTCAGCCAGCAGCAGAGCTGAAGCGGGACCCGGCGGCACAGGAGCCCGTGCACAGCGCACACCAGACGCACCCAGAGCCGCGCTCCGGGCGTCTCTGAGCTCTGCTGCGTGCACACGGCGGCTGCTTCCCTCTGTAACCCCTTTTTTTCAGTCTGCAACTAGGAGGGCCGCATTGGAGCACCAAATACAGCAAAAAGGCAAACCAGTGCACGTGTTCATTTTTAAGGCCAGATGAGGGGGAAAAAAAAAGTTTCTTATTCTCATAATGCAAGGCGAAATATTTTTCAAAATTGTCTTCTCTAAAAAAGAAATTTCCCTGTGCGTTCAGCGATGTAAGAAATTCGCAAAAATCCTTTAAGACACCGTCAAGAAAAACGCGGCATTCATTTCCGTCTCATTAATGTAGCACAGAAAAAAAAACTGTTGTGCACCGAATACAATTTCGGTATTTAAAACAGCACCGCGAGCTGCCAACGCGGAGCCGCTCTGCACGCGCGGCCGCATCCGTCACTCCGGCGCTGCCCGGCCCTCCCGAGCGCTTCCCGTGCGGCGCCGCCGGCGCCGTGCGCGGCGGATCCGGGGCCGGGCCGGGCGCTGCCGGGGCCGCTGCGTGCCGGTATCCCGGGCCGGGCGGGCGGCGGAGGGCCGCGGCCGAGCTGCGGGCGGCAGCGCCGAGGCGCGGCGGAGGAGGGCTCAAGATGGCTGCGGCGCGGGCCGGCCCTTACCTGTTTTCTCCTTGATCTCGCAGAGGACGCTGAAGAGCGCGGGCTTCATCCTGTGGCAGTTCAGCGCGTGCTTCCTGCAAGAGAGCGCACACAGCGTTAGCGCCCGCCGCGAACATGGCGCCCACCGCGCCGCGCCGCCAGGCCGCCCGCAGAGCCCGGCGTCGGCCCCGAAACCGGCCCCGAAACCGGCCCCGAAACCGGCCCCGGCCCGCGCCAGCAGCGGCCCGAGCGGGGCCGGCTCTCCGTGCGGCTCCGCGGCGGCTCCTCTCAGCGCCGGGCCGGGCCCCGGGGCGCGCGGCGTAAATCAGCGCCGTCCGGGGGTGATTTATTGCGGAGCGGCCCGGGCCGGGCCGCGCCGCGCTTTGTTTTGCGCGGCGGTGATTTAGGACGGCCGCGGCTCTCCCCCCGCGGCGGCGTCTGCTCGGCGCCCCATCCATCTCCCGCCGCGCCGGGCACGGGGGAGCGGCGCGGAAAGTTGCGGCCCGGCCCGGGGCGCGCGGACACGCGGACAGACGGAGAGGCGGACGGACGGACGGACGCGGGGCCGCGCGGGACGGGGCCGGCTCGAGCACCGCCCGCTCCCGCGTTCGCCGCGTGGCAAAGGGCATTAAATCGCGCTTCGGCCGCGCCCCGGCCGCCTGCGGGCTCCTCCGGCGCCAGAAGTTCTCTCCCGAGCGCTCCGCGGGCCGGGGCTGCGCGCCCCGCGCGCACCGACAGACAAGGCGTAACGAGACACCAACTTTGCTTGCGCCTCGTCCAGGCTTTGGTCGGTGATGGTCATGATCTGGTGCAGGATGTCCCCGATGTCCTGCTTCCTGCCGTCGCCGTCGGCCCCGTCGTGTCCGTGGGGAGGCGGCAGGGCCATGCCCCCCTGCACGGAGTGCCCCGCCAGGTTGACGCCCGCCAGGGTCTGCAGCATGCGGGACTGCTCGTCCATGGCCCCGCGCCGCGGGGGCACTGCGCGCCCGGCCTCGGCCCCGCCGCTCGCTCCGCGCTCGCACGGCAAAAAAAAAAGAAAGGCAAAAACCAGAAGGACGACGGCGGCCGAAGGAGCGGCGGCGGTGCCGGGAGCGCTGTCGGCGGCTGATCCCACGCTCTTCTCTCCCGGCGCGGTCAATCGCTCTCCTTTAGTTACAGTCTTCTCCCGTCTGCACCATGCCTCTGCCGGGCCGGGCTGCGCCGCTCCGCCGCTGCCTCTCCCCGGAACGATCTTCCTCCAAAGCTTTTTATTGTTATTATTATTATTATTATTATCCTTTCTTATTATTGTTTTTATTGTTGCTTTCTATGTCTTTCCCCACTTGTCCAAAAATCTTCTTTGCGAAAAGGCAAAAAAAAAAAAAAAAAAAGTTAAAAAAAAAAATTCAAAATCACAAAACTTGCTTTCAGATCCCGCAGAAGTTGGGAGGGTGGCAAAGAGCAAAAACCACAACAAACCGAGCGGCCCCCACCCCGGATCGCGACATAAAAACGCCACGAAAACACAATCACAGAGGGAAAAATTAATGGCCCTCCCCCCAAAAATAACGAACGATCCCGAGTCTGTGCGCGGGGGGACGGCGGCGATCAGAAGTTTGAACTCGTGCAAAGAAAAGAGCGGAAATCGAGGGGAAAGAACTGTAAAAAAATTAATTACACACTCTGTGCAAAGCAACGTGCAAAAATATCAGCCGGCGGGGATTTATGAGCGCGGCCGCCCGGTGACTGTGTGTGCTTTATGTTGTTTGATGGCCGCTCCGGTGAGGGATTGACAGCCTGCCAATGCCACTCACTCACCCTGCAGACGTGTCACCCTGTGAGCAGGCAGCGGCCGCGGCACAGGACGAGCCGCCGCGCCCCGCCCCGCGCCGCGCCGCCCCTCCCGCCCGCCCCGCCCCGCCGGGCGTGCCCGCCACCGCCCCGCCCCGGCCCGCGGGGTCGCCCTCCCGCCGGGCCCGGCCGCCGCGGCGCTCCCCGGGGGGCGGCCTCCACCCAGAGCGGCGGACCCGGCGGCCAATCGGCGCGGGCGAGGGCGGGCGCGGGGGGAGGCCGCGGCCAATCGGCGCCGGCGGAGCGGCGCCTTGCTCGCCCGCCCCCGCGAAGGCCCCGCCCCCCCACTGAGAAACTTGCGATTGGCCCGTTCGAACGGTCACGCGGCCGGGGCGAAAGCCGCTCCGGCCCCGCCCCTTCCGTTGCTATGGGAGCGCCCGGGCGGGGGCCTCGCCTCGCTTCCCCTCCGCGCCGCCCCCCGGAGCCGAGCCCGCGGCAGCCCGAGGGCGGCCTGAGCCTGCGCGGGAGCGGCCGTGGGCACCGCGTGGCAGCGCCGAGCGTGGGCGGCGGGCAGCCCGGGGAGCGGTGAAGGTTTCAGACAGCGGCGCTTTCTGGGACGTCGCTTCGGAACGGAGGGGCGCCCGGCTTTACGAAGCCGGCTCACCTCCGCGCTGTTGCGATTCCGCGTGGGGTCGTTACGGACGCGTACGCGCGCAGCACAGCCTCGTGCTCTCACGGCGTTACCTTCGGATCCCTGCCGCCCGCGGCTCCCTTACCTGCGCGGCCGCGCTGCGCTGTGAGCAATGCGCTCCTGCTGCGAGCTGTGACGGCGCTTCCACGGACGCTCGGTTCGGTGCTGGGGAGCCCCGGCAGCAACTGAAGCGGTGCTCAGTGGTGGCGATGTGCTTTGCTGTGACGGGCAGCTCCAGCTAAAAGAAGGCACGTCCAAACTAAAACCTCATCCTCGTCTCTTTGACACTTCCTGGAGGTACGGCTGACAGCTCAGGATCGGCGCAGCCAGAAGAGCTCTTCATCTTCCTCCTCAGCTCCCGCTGCTCTCCTCAATCCAGCTGACATCAGCGCGTCGCCTTCCCTCGGCTCCGTCACTCCAATGTCACCTGTTTGATGCGGGGCCCCTCACCGCGTCCCGTGGGAGATGCTGACCCGCTGTGGGTCATTTCTGGTTTACAGCACTTTCACTGTCCCTCCACGTAGGCAGCACACGTGCTCCTAGTCATCCAGGAAATCCTAGTCATCTTCCATCTTCATTGCCGTGGCGCTTCCTGGCACGAACAGTTGCGCTCTTAGTGTCATCCAGCTTTATTAAAACTGCTACTCCAAAGAGCTCTTTCGTTCTCATTATTTTGAATATTTTGCGAGTCGGCTTGCATTTGTCCACCAAGTGCGAGGCTTTGCAGGCAGACAAACGTGCTTTTGTTGAGGTGTGCAGCCGTTCAGAGGCCGATGTCCCCCGGCTGCGCGCGCCGTGCCGAGGAGGGCCGGCTTCACGTCCTGACGGCAGTGCGCGTGCCAGCGCTCCTCAGCTAAAAAGGTCAAGAACTGGGAAACAGAGTCGGTGTCATCTGTCACTTCTGTGCAGTGTCTTCGCCTGCAGTCAGCGCAGCTGCAAGTTGGCACTAGTTTTCTTCATTAAAAATTAACTGGGCTGTTTCAGGGGATTTTTTGTGTTTCTGTTCGAAGAGTCGCTAAACTGCACGTTTAATCGCAACATTTATGCACGCGTCACTGCCGAATCGCTAACCGCTCGATAACGCATTCGGCGCTGAACGAGGCCCGCTCCCTCCAGCCGGCGGCGCGCCCCGGCCCTGCTTTTACCACAGCGCCCCGCGCCGCCTCACGCGCCTCACGAAAGAGGCGCCCCGCGCCGGGCAGCCCACGACGCCGCCGAGGGAACGGAGCCCGCCACCGCTGTGCGCATGCGCGTGGCGGAGCGGCCGCCGCGGCGCCACTTCCGGGGCGGCACTTCCGGGTCGCGGCGCGGCCCTGCTCTCTCGCTGCCGCGGCGTTCCCCGGCCCCGGAAGCGCTGCCCGGCCCGCCGGCGGGGGGAGGCGGTGCCCGGCCCGGCTCCGCGTCGCGCCGCAGCCCGTAAGTGTGGAGGGGAACGGGGCCCTCGGGCGGACCGCGCGGGGCGCGCCCGGTGCCACCCGCGCGGCATCCCTTCGAGCCGCGGACCGCGACTCGTTCCCTGAGGAGCCGCCCGCTGCCGCCCGGCGCCCCGGCCTCCCGTGCGGAGCGGAGCGAGCCCGGTCCGTGCGGGCGGGAGCGGCTCGCGTTCCGCGGCTTCGTTTGCGTGGGTGTGGGGCGAGGCTCGCGCCTGACCCTTCCCTCCCCTGCTGGCGGGGCGCGGTGCTGCGGAGCTCGGCTCTGCCCGCCGGAGGGGCGGGCCGGGTGCGCGCACGGCCGGAATGAAATTGCCCCGCTTGTGTTGTGTTGGTTTTCTCGCGTTCAGCGTCAACCTGTTCGTGGACTCTTTATTTGGGTTAGACTTGGAAAAATGATATCGCTGTTTGTATATAAATTTCTACAAAAGAATTCAAGCGGTGAAGGAGAACCAGCCTGTTCACTCGGTGTCTGTTTCACCCAGCTGCAACACATGGCACAATCGACTCCTGACTTCTAGTGTAGCTCAACAAAGAAGTTCAAGCGATTTGGCAGAGCGAGGGGTACATTACTCCTTTTGTATCAATGATGTTTCCAAACTGCTGGAGACTTTGAGAAATAGATCAGTACATGCACCAGTGAGAAGCCGTTTAGCCAAGGGGACGAGCACGGGGAGCAGGCTGCTTGTTGTAGGGCAGGACTGAAACTCAGTGCCTCCCCAGGGCAGGGACAGAGCCAGTTGGATGTATAGGGCTCAGGCTGCACTGTGGTCCTCTCCAGGGTGGCGGAGAGCAATGAGCTGATGCCTCAGGTTGGGATACAGAGACAGTGCTGGTCCTGGAACACAGTGTGCTATTTCAGCAGTATCAGTGCTGCAACCAATTGTCTTTTGGTGCCAGGTAATTCAATGTTGTAACACTGCTCCATGTTTGAGATGCATTAATGTCATATTTTGCTAGCATCAGTTCTCTGTCAGAAGGGACCAAATGAGGGTTTTCTGTTGAACAGTACCACTCACAAAGACTCCTGTATGTATTTTAATATTAATTGTGAATGCATTGAGACGTTTCATTAAGCTGTGATACCTAGCTCTCTGTAAGTTCATTTTCTTGTAGAAGACAAAAAGTGGAAGTAATCTCTATCTTGTTTCCTTTCTAAATCAATTATTCCAAAAGCAAAAATTCCTTAAATGTGTTTTGGTGACTAATGAGGGAGAAGGACCATAAGTTTGACAAAAGAAAAGTTGAAAGCCAGAGAAAGTGAAGATTCATCTATGGCTGAACCAACAAGCATGTGTTCAGTTACATTTGTCACAGAGGCTTGATGTATTGAGGGTGTTAGCGTTTTGGTAGTCCATTGTCACATTTTCTAGGACTGAAATGTCCTGTTTTGTTGCAAAGCTATGTCTGGAAAATTGAAACTGGATCTGAAACTGTAGCAGACACTTGGAGGGGAAATACTGCCTTCAGTTGGAAATGCAGTGATACGGTTACATAGCAGCATAAAAGCTTTGAGAGTAGGCTGCTGAATGGGCTCCAGTAGAGGCAGTTGGGTTTTGTGCAATAGATTGCTGCCAAGTTTCAGTTGCACGAGCTCAACGGCAGGCTGACATCAGGAAGCAGCAGGCATGTTTGCTGCTGAGAGTCTCAGCGGATCCTGCAGGCTGCTGTAGGTACAGTGCAGCTCGGGTCTTTGTCCTGGGCCTGGAGCATTATCTGTAGGGCTGCAGACTTCCATGTGCTTTAACACCTCTGAGTCCAGTTCAGCTTCAGTGCCTCCAAACAGGCTTTCCAAAGCAACTGTGTGAGGGAAGCACAGGCAGCTCACGAGTGATTCTGTTACTGAGTGCTTTTCATGCTCAGGAAAGTCCAGTAAGTGCTGCATCCATTCACAGTAGTCTAAAGAAGTAGAAGGTGGCCTTAAAAAGCCTCCTTCTGTCTCTCTCAGTATTATATAGGCCAAAAAAATGGGAAAGTGTTGAAGCTTTCTATTTTAGTCTTTGTTGTTAAAAATTGAAGTTTGTTAAAGTGTTTGAAACAGTTATGGGATTTTTAGGCTATTGAGTACTATAGTAAAAGGAGCCAGAATGGAAACTGTAATCTAACACTTGGGCAGTCTGAGCCTATGCTTTCAGCCAAGTGCTTGTAAGTAGATGTTATATTTGCCCATCCCAGGAATGTTAAAGATTAACAAGTCATCATTTAGGCAAGCAAGCGAGAAATCTGGGTTCCGTGTAAAAGTGTTGCACATTGCTGAAAGTATTTCTTGTCAGTTCTCTTTGCAAGCAGATGTGGTCAGCATCACTGGCACAGGGGCTGCTCATCCTCATTTCTGGAACAGAGTATTCATCAGGAATGAAAATAAAATGGAAATTGCAATGTGTTGTTTAAAAGATTTCCTGGATTTGTTTGTTATTTTAAAATAAATAGTCGTAAGTGTGAATTCAAACAGCTGTTTGTTTTTGTTGTTACGCTTTTTTTTTTTTCTGGATGGTAAATTCTGAATGCGGGCTCTGAAATTGGGCAGGTTTCAGTGTGTTGGGCCCTCACAGTGTGATGCTGCACATGTAATGCATGTTCAGGTAATGCTTGCTAGCCAGTATGAAGAAATAAGCGTAATCATAGACATTAAAAATTAAGCAAAGTGTTTGCACATATTTAGATTAGGCAAAAAAACAGGCAAGATGCAGCTTTTCTAAACTGTTTCTATCCAAACCATTCAGCACAATATCAGAATGAAAAATGACAACACTTTGTCATCTGTTCAAATTGATATTGCACTCTTTGCAGTGACAGCTGAAAAGGCCCACAGGTGCCATATAAAGAGGTGACCATGTTGTCATATTTCATTTAGGCATCCCTCTGCAAAGCCATAATTACCTAATTAGGTTGTTAATTAGGAGATTAGCATTTCACTATATTGATAGAATGCTCTTTGCAAGCGTGATTCTAGTTACAGATTTGTCTGCCCTAATTTATAATCTTTGCATTATTTTATACTTGCTTATTTGCGTAAAATCTTGATGCAAGATAGCTCAGGTTAGCTGAGAATCAACTTGTTTGCAATTAAACGAAGATTTGACAAGATCAGGAGGCAAACAGGTAAGAGTAGATTCTTTCCATGTAGACTCCAACGTTCTCTCTCTCCTTCCCTAAAGCTCTGTAACTGAAACATTGGATTCAGCATAACTTGCATCCTGACTGGTTTGACAGCAAAAATATAGGCAAGTTTCAAGCAGTTCATGCATATAGAAATAAATATCCAATGTCAGATTGATTTTTCAGGTTGGAAAACTAACAATGAATTTTGTCAGAACTTGTGTGTAATGTATTGTTTTCTCATAACTTTCAAATTCCCATTTCATTTGTGAAAGAGCACCCCTTTAAATGACTTCAGATGATTATTTCTTTTTTAATGGTAGGATGCAAAGCATGAATGACAGCTTCTCTAAGCAAGCATGCATTCTTAAATGCACTTGAGCTTTTATTGAAACATAGGCTTGAATTTTCATGTATTACATTTCACTTTCCTTTATCCTCCACATGCAGGAGTCTGGCATTCAAGGGTTTTGATTATTTGTACTGCTGCAAATGTAGATAGCCAGGATCATTTATGTAGCAATTGCAGACAGAAGTTAACTGAAATTATTTCATACGACCTGAATCATAAATTTTGAAGTATATTTGCACTGTCCTATTCCAGCTTGGCACATGTAGGGAAAATCAATTTTATTCTAATCTGCTCATTTTTTTCATTAGTTTTTAAGATCACTTTGAAGACCTGCAGTCAGAGAGGTGTGTGAATGTGGCAGCCCATGAGTGCTGAGGTGTAACATTGTGAGATTCCTCTCGGAGCACATGGGTGACTGTCAGACCCACACTGTACCCTCCACAAATTGCATTTTGGTTTGAATGTTTTTGTTTACAGTATGCAGGGTTTAACTGGCTATTACTTCCCCAAGGCAGACAGTCAGTTTAAACGGCTTTTCCATATGAGCTGCGGGTCTGTAGAATTAGAAGTAGGAAATATCCTCCTGCTTCTCACTCTTACTCTTTACTTTTTCAGTTTATTAATACACACTTCCTTGCAGGAACTGGTAGGAGAATGTTGTGTGGACCTTCCAGCTGCTTTCAGCCAGTTGATCTGAAAGAGTTACTGTTGAGTTGGTAAAATTTCAAAGCTGTCGCTGTTTTATGAAGCAGAAGAGTTTCTGCTGCTTACAGCTTTCTCCAGTTTTTGTCACTTATTGTAGATTCGGAGGTATAGGAAGTAAATTTGCTCACGTGTGATATTTGGAATTATGAAAGGCGTAAACATAGAACTTTTCTGTGAGGAAGGCATTTCCTGTGCTTTGGGCAGTGGCAGTGTGTCACTGAGAGGTGCCGCTAGCCTGCAGCTTTGGGAGCAATAGCCGTGGGGGTGAAGTTGGCAGTAAGTAGATTGTAGTTGGCCGAGCTATCACTATGTATGTTTTCTTCTCTAATCTCAGTTGGAACCAGTTTGTATGCTTGTGATACATCAGGCACACGCACTGTGCTGACTGCATGTGTGCGCGGTGACAGGAACGGCGTGTCGAAGTACAGCATGGAGCTGTTGCTCTTAGCACTCAGGCAGGAGCCGGGTGTTGGGCTGGTGCTCCCCAGTGCAGGAAAGGGCCCTGGGCCGTAGCTGCGGTCACTGTGCACGGTGTGTTCTGTGCTAGCAGTGTGTGAGCAGCCTGCAGCTCGGCGAGGGCAGCAGTGCAGCAGCCAGCTGAGGGGCGCCGGGCGGCCCTGTGCTCGGAGGAGGGAGGGGCTCCCCTGAGCTGCTCTGCGTGTTGGAAACCAACGGTGATGTTCAGTACAAGGTAACAATGCGTTCCCCGAAGTCAAGAAGCCTGCATTTAGCAGTTATTTCATGCTCACAGTCAGACATTTGCTGTGTGGGGGAGATGTTTGGGGTGGGGGGAGACAAAAGTGAGTAAATCTGACTCTTACTTCAGAAAATACGGTGTCGCGGGCAAGCAGGAGGGCTCCCAAGAGGTGATATGTTTGTGGAGATGAAATTTCCTCCCCAAATTCAGGTTCATGCACCTGGAGGTGATTACGGGGCCTCTGTGTGGGACCTCATGTCTCCTCATAGAAGCAGGGTAGATGTTTAAATGTCATGCCTTACTTATTTACTGAATTATGAATGAGGTTGATCTGCATAACAGCTGTGCTTTGCTTGCTGTGAAAGTCTATAGATGTTGTAAATACAGCAGTGGGTTACTAGAAGAGGAACACGTGGTAGAAGTGGTAAAAGTAGTAGACTGCAATCCAGCTGCCTGGCTGCTCCACATGCCTTCTGAGGGCACCCGGCAGCACAGCTCTGCCCAAGGCCTGGCTGCACAGTGACAGTCTGTGCTGCTGCCAGGTGCTGAGCAGGAGCTCCCTGCAGGCAGGGTGGTAACGTGTAGAGAATGCAACAGGAGCTTAATAAAGATCAAGAATGAAATGAGGGTCCGTCCCTCTGTGTGATGAACCACGGGAGGTGTTTGCTGATCGGTTGTATCCCATCATCCCACCAAACTGTGTATCGTACAGAAGTGCTGTTAAGGCTGCGTGGGTTTCACGTTGCTCCTTTCGTTTTTCGTGTTTGCACAGAGTATGCTGGGCAGCTGCCTGCGAAGTATTTTATTTAATAGCAGTGTAATAGTATCAGTTGTGGTGCTTGGAAAGTCCCTGACTTCTTTTCAGTTCAGCTCCTGCCTGTGAGGTGACGGGCTGTGGGTGGGAGGAATGCAGAGAGGCGTGCGGTCCAAAAATTGGTCTGGTATCTAATGTTGATGAAATTGATTACATGGAGATTTAAAGGTATTCGTCTAAAAGCCTGCAAAATTGAACTTTGCTTCTTTGAAGTCTTTTGTTGTCTGCATTTCTCTCACCAGATCTGTACCATCTAATTTACTTTGCTTCTCTCCAAAGGAGGAACCAGTTAGAGCTGTGTAGATAGCAAATGCTAAGTATGGCATAAGTATGTAAACTGAATTTGGGGTGCTGTTCTTTTTTGTTTTTTTTTTTTAATAACTGTTTACATTAACTGGAATTTCTATGAATACTTAATTATTATTGAAAATATGTCTTTATGTCTCCTTTTGAAAATTCTGAAGAGGAAGAAGGGAAATGTGTTTGTATTTAAAGTTTGGACTTTGAAACGGAATTCCTGGTAATTCCTCACTGTTTCTGTTTATTGGAGAAGTGACTGCGTGTTTAAAATGGTAAAGAAGCTTGGGTAATTGAGCACGCTGACTGCTAATAGCATGAAGTCGGGGTACAGAGTATAAAGGTAAAAATCTCGCATCTGCTGTTACATGTTGTTAACTCCCTTAGCAGACATTAAATCATTTCAAGTACAATAATAGTGTGGGAGGTACATTAACTAACCATTAACAATCTTATAAATACACAATTAACGTGCCAGCATTTATATGACACATTGATGGGGCAGCAGTAATTTTTGATTGGGAGTTTGTGGACCCTTTAGAAGCCTGAGGCAGTTGCTTATTTAAGCAAGTTCTTACTGCTCACAGGTAAGCGTGGCCCTTTTCTGATAAGCAGTGTTTTAGAAATTACATTTAAACTGCATTCTCAGTGCACTTTTAGGATGTCTGCATGCTGTACTCAGCTGTGTCTGCAGCCTTGTGGTCACATCGCCCCGCTCACGCGGCCAGAAGGCCTTTGGCACATGCAGTGCAGCAAGGAGACGTTTGCCCGAAGGTGGGAGGAATTTGCCTCGGGGCCTCTCGCTTTGAGGACAGCGAGGAATCCTTCAGGGACAGCAGGCCTACTTTCTGTAATGGAAATAGTCAGAATACGAAGAACAGAACTCAGGCTGATGTGACCCACCATGAAACCAGCGTTCTTTAAGTGGATCTCAGTGAAGTTACCCTAACCTTGTAACTTCAGGGAATTGGAACAGAATTGAAATAATTCGCTGTACAAAACTGAATCAGATTTTGTGCATCCGAAATATGAACCTTCTTGGTCAGTATTTTGTTGTTTATCTGTTTGTTTTCTAAATGCTGTGTATGTTGTATTTCTAGGTACTGTGTCCATGATACAAGATGGAGAGAAGATAGTATAGAGAAGTGGTGGTCTTGTGGGCAGAATGGCTTTCCTGGACAACCCGACAATTATACTTGCTCACATTCGGCAGTCACATGTGACCAGTGATGACACAGGGATGTGTGAAATGGTCCTGATAGATCATGATGTTGATCTAGAGAAGTTTAATCCCTCGTCAACATGTGGAGATAGTGCTTCAGAATCACAGGGAAGCAATGGTGAGACTCAGGGCTATGTATATTCCCAATCAGTCGACATTACCTCAAGCTGGGACTTCGGAATTAGAAGACGATCCAACACAGGTAAGTGATGTTTACAGCTGAAACAATGTTAACCTTTTAAATTCAGTTTCTATTAGTATTACATGCATGGACAAATCATAGCATAACTAGTTAGATATCTGACATTTTTTTCATTTTGTAATATAGAGTCCCTCTTTTTAAAATGCATACTGTGATTCAGATTCTTTGGTGTGCTGTCAGCTGAGTTTTAATTGCTGTTTTACTTAATCATGTACAGAGGAATGTTGAGGTAGTCAGCTTTACATATTAAAACAAATTGAAAAGACGTGAGGTCTAAACCCAAAGTACATGAGCAGTCTTTGGTATTTCTATTGTTACTGTCTGGAGGGATGTTAACTTTTGAACAGGATGGTTCTTTTCTGAGAAAAATCTTCTTAGCGATGCATCAAATCTGTGTTATGAAAGAGAATAGTGGAGTTTGTGAGGCAGTGAAATGAATGATCTGTCTATGTTTTTTTATCTTCTGAAGTCTTATATCTAAGTAAAACCTTGAGGTAGGCTTTAAGTTAGCAAATTAGGAAGTTTAAGGATGTTTACCTTTTCAAAACAGGCTCTGTTTGTCTTGAGTAGAAGAAAACTGTCCCATTCATTGGTAGGACTATTCAGACTTCTGCTTATACCCAAGGAACACTACAAAGAAAAACTACAATTTCAAATATGTATGAAAAGGCTGATGTGGGGTGGTCAGTATTGGTTTGTTTTTCTATTACAGTCTATCCTATTTTTTCCAAATTATTTCTGAAGGTATAACACCACCTAGAGCTCAGAAAAAACATCTGTTCTCAGCCTGAAAGGTAAAATGGCAGTAAATATCTGGCAACACCTTTTACAAACCAGTTGTCAAAAGCTGTGGAAAGACAGAGTGCAGGTCTCTTTTAATTGAGTTATACTTGGAAATAAGCTGGTGATGTACCTGCCACTGACGCAGAGGCACGGTGTAAAGTTTGTTGTGCCGGACTGCCTGACGCTGTCCTTGAGGACTTGTTTAGCTCAGGTAAAGGTACAGTTTATGATGAAGGAGAAGCAAAGTCTCAAGATTTACAGTATTACTCCGATTATTTTTTTTTCTCAAGTAGATTGAGGAAATAATCTGTATTTAAGTTATGGTTGGAAACCATGAAAGTTTACAGTTGGTGGCATATGCTAATATAAAGGTTAAGAAGTTCAGTGGGGAGCCAGTTTTCTGCCTTTTTTCGTCAGATATGCGAGTATGCAGATTTGGAGATGAGTGTTATGTGCGTCCCAGCGTTGAAGTTATCTCTTTGATTTGAAGGCGATGCGCAGTGGAAGAGATGCATTAGGGCTCTGCACGTTTCGGGAGAATAATATAGGTATCCTCTGCCATTGAGATTTTCCTCCTTTTCTGCAGGAGCTGGCTGGGTCATAGGGGTCTCTGGATCCAGGCTCTGTCCCAATGCTGCCTTAGCAGTGCCATACCCAAGAAAACAAGCACTGTGGTGCTTGGTCTTGTGCGTAGTGTTATGTGAAGGGGAAAGCAAATATCCCTGTCTGTGTGGCTAGAAACAAGGGCTCCTGTAGCTGCTAGTAGTTAATGAAGCAACATTTGGTCAGTGGCTTTTTGCACATAGAAAGCTTTCAAACTAACCTGCTTGCGAGAATAAACCTTTAATAACTGGAACTTGTAATGTAGGTACTGATAATTCCATCTAATTTGGAGTTGAATGGAAATTAATGTTGTAGGATTGTTTTATAGCAACCACAGATGGAAGAACTGGATGGAGTTAGTGCAGACAGTGGCTGCATGGTGGTAGGCATGTTCTGACCCTGACTTTGTACGCTGACCTCCTGCATCCTCCTGTGGGGGCCCAGCAGGGCGGGCTGTCACCACCCCATGGGCAGGGGAGCACCTCCCTGCCAGTCAGAATCCGCCTCTTTGATGAACTGGTGGCTGTGGCTACCGCACACCACGAAAACACACATTGTTCTTATCTTCTGTTCTATGTGTTTTCCTTATCTATTTTTTTTTTGGCGTGCAAATCTTATGGATATTTTATGATGGTTCACTTAGGCTGAAAGGGTTTCGGGTGGTGATTTTGAACCTCAGTCTGGGTAATGGTTAGAGGAGGAAATGAAGGGGTTTCTTTAGAATAAAATATCCGTGCTGCAACAGTGTTTTACACAGTATTTGAACTGATGACTGGGAATATCACCTTCCTCACTTCTCACACAGCTGCACAGAAGCATTTATGCATTGGCCTCTTGTCTGTGGGAAACAGGCAGTAAAGTCTCTCTTTGTGTCTGTACCTTAAACTGCTTGCTGCAGCTTCACAGTATTGCAAGTATTTAAATATTTTTTCACCAGTTGCCGGGTTGAGAGTTGTTACGGGGAAAAAAATCGCTTCGGTGTCCATGGTTCTGTTCAAAGGCTAAATGTTAAAAAATAGTAATAATAATAATAGTAGAAGGCGCAGAAAATATTTATTAGCCTCTTTTTTAATTGGTGAAATAGCTCAGGGATCTCAAATTGTACCTAAAAATTGTCGGGGTAATTTAGTATTTCAGAATCCCTTCTAAAAACGCGTTTTAGTTAACGAATGAGCTCAATACATCAAAATTGCTAATATGTCCGGAGAACTGTTTCCTTCCGTGATCAACACGACTGGTCCTCCTTCCCAGCCCGATCTCCTCTCTTGCTCTGTGGCGTTGGTTGCTCATGGAGCTGCTTTGGTGGCAGCCCCAGCTCCAGCCACTCGCACTGTGACGCAGCCCTGCCCCGTGCTGTGGGGCCGCCGCGGTGCCTCCCAGGCTCCAGGCTTTTCTTCAGGCCCTGTTTTGGAGATGGAGTCAAAATATACCTAAGGAAATATTATATTCATTTTAAGGTTTGACTAATGTTGTGAAGATACAAATCATTTATTTTACTACCTATAAACTGTTCCAGCATACTGAAGAAAAAGCTATGCTAATTTATATAGCTTTGACATTTTATAATTTTCATGATTTTTAGATAAAGGATTTTATATTTAAAACTTTAATAGTCTAGTCTGAGTTCATTTATCTTTAATTTTTGAAACGGGTAGAGTAATTCATAACAGTAATTTTATTCCTGTAATGTAATATTCACTTCAGTTCATTTGTGCATTAAAATTCCTTTAAGACCGTTATTAATGATTTATATAATGAAATGTCATATTAATCACAGAAGTTTTCACATTTTATTATTCTCTTCCATGTTAATACTATCTTTATGATCTCTATTAATGTTTTATACCCTCTAATTTCAATTATAAATCAAGAACATTTTCATGTTTTTGTTGGTATTTGCTTTTCAGGGGTGCCACCTTTAAAATTTTATGACTTTTTCTCCTACATATGCAATATAAAACATCTTTATTCATATAAAGATAGTTAATTATGTCTTTGTTTATAGTAAACTTTCATTGACAAACTTATAGTTATAATATTTCTTTTCAAGCTCAGAGACTAGAACGTCTGCGGAAAGAGAGACAAAATCAAATAAAATGCAAAAACGTGCAGTGGAAAGACAGAAACACTTCTTACTCAGGTAAAAAGAAAAGACCTTCTATCTTCCTACTGTTTTTGTTTCTGCTTTTGATGGTTATAGCATTTTCAGTTCATAATTTTCACTTCAGCTTTTGAAGCATAGAGGGAAATGCTGACGATTGTATTTGCCTTCCATTCTGCAGCTCTGCACAACCTATGCTGAGTTGGTGGGGGGACCACAGACCTCCCGTTTGTTTTCACCTGTAACAGGGCACTGCACATTGCTAACAAGGGCAAAACAGAGATCAGGTGTTTAAAACCTACTTGGTTGGTCTGAAGTACGTGAAGTGGCTGTTCAGTATCTTTGTGCAATGTAAGTTATTAATGCAGTGTTGGGGATTTCTGCAGTAATGTCATTATCTTTTGTTGTCTCAGTGAGCAAGAAAAGGGAGTAGTAAGGCTCTCAGTATTATTGTGACATGTTTCAGTAATGGTACATACTGTCTTTGCTGTATGGGTAGATGATTGGCAAGTGCCTGCATTCAAACTGCAGGATAATCATCTCCATGTAAGTTGTGGCTTTCCAGCTGTTTCCAGAAACATTTGGTGTGCAGAAATCTAAGAGTTTCTTAGAAATGAGCATCTAAGAACTTGTGATCATTTTTCTGGGTAAGGAGAAGTTGTATGTATGTATGCGATCTACTTAAACAAAAGAACAATAAATGTTGCCCTAGTTTATTTCACCTTTTCTTAGGAAAAACCAGTGTTATTAATTTCTCCAAGAACATTTACTGCTTTGTTATTAATATAAAATGAAGTATTTCTGACTTGGATATTCTACACAGTTTGAACTGTAATGCTAGGAATGAAAAATAGCTCTGGCTAACTTCTATTCCTGTTGTATTTGACACACGTTCAAACCACTGTGTGGTTTGTCATGCCTACTTTGTTCAAAATTTGTGTATCTCTTAATGAGGCCCCCATGTAATCTCCTTATTTTGTTTTGTAGCCTAAATCTATGTATCTTCCTGGCTGTTATTTGCAGAACCTTTTCCAGTTGTATAATTCCTCTTTTAGAGGAGTGAACAAAGCTACTCACATGAGCAACACAGTTGCACTAATCCTTAGTGCAGTGTTCAGCTATGTTTGATACCTCTATTAATGCATTCTAAAATGTTTTTGCCTTTCTACTTCTGTAAGCAGAGCAGTATGTTTTAAAGTTTAATCTACCATAACTTCCAGTTCTTTGCTCAATATGTTTTTAGCATTTGATCAGAGGTGACAAAGTTCTTTTTCCTTTTAATCCCTAGCTTATGCTGTTTGATATTGCTTTACACTACATTGCAGTCAGATTCCAGTTTCCTGCTCTGCATTCTGTTTGTTTCCTTATTCGAATGGGCTCCACTGTGATGTTCCGTCCTTCTGAGCTCCCTTGCAGACAAATGTGATTCATCAGCCAGCAACAAGGGGGTGTCCCACGCTGTAGAGCTCTGCTGGGTTTTACATTGGTACTGATCAGCCCCTCCTGGCTGCAGATCAAATTTAAATAAAAGATACATTATGTAAAAACTCCAGACACTTGGCTTTGTCACTGGGATTCTTGGAGTTTCTTCACTTAATTGCACGAAGAGCAACATAGTAGAAAGAGACCAGGAAAAAGAGGAGCCCTGAAATATGTCAGCTGCATCTTCCTTTATGTCCTATATCTGTTCTGTTCCTTGCATTTAACATTATTGATAAATATGTATGAAAGCAGTAACCATAGGTGTACCTGCTCCACATAGGAGGAATTTGGCTGTTCTTTTCTGTCTGTGTTTATCTGAGCTCTAGACAAAGTCAAGCTTATGGCTGACAGCTTGCTAGCTAAAAGGAGGCTGGAAGGTTGCTGGTTCCTACTGCTTTAGTCTGATAACATCATCTCCATAGATAACCCATCACAGAGCTGCATTGCTGTAAGAGGAAAATCTTGCAAGCATTTCCATTGCTCTGGAGGTAGATTTATAGTCATAATTTGAGGCATTAGATGAAAGATTATCCTTCGTTATTTCTTTTTTTATTTTTTTAATTAGTACGTACAGAAATAAAAGTATACTAACCAGAATAAAAGAGTGTGAGAGAGAAGTAATTTTGTCTGCAGTAATAAGAGTATTTCTTACTCGTTGTCTGTTTGCCCACTGTTGTGGAATGGGCTGCTTGCCTTGTCAAAGGAACAGGGTAGAGAGAAGGTTGTAGTGATTGCAAGACTTAGAGAAGAAACTGTTTGGAGCTGGTTAGGAGATCAGCAGATCCAGAGGTGCCCCAGGGAAAGCTGGCTGGCTGGAAGTAAAGTGTAACACAGCTGTGGTCTTTTTGTTGGTTGTGCCACCAATTCACATCACCTTTATACGTATCAGTACTTTTTCAGTAAAATGAAAATATCGTCTCTGCTCCATGCCATGTAGATGGAAATCGCATAGAGCTGAAAAAAACACCATGACACCGAGTAACAGCAAAGCTTACCTTCAGTTAAGAGTTAAAAATTTCACAGTTCAAGCTATCCAATGTAAAAAAATTCCTCTGAATTTTCTCCCTGCATTTTAAAAAATGTTTTCTCCTAGGTCAAAGGACATAATTGCAAGTCTCTCAGTTGTAGTCTGTAAGAAATTATTTTACAAAACACTTAATGAGAGATAATGGTTTTTCAGAATCGATCTTCTTTTAGGCTTTTCGCACAAATCTTTAGGTTTTCAAGTTGTTCTTCCTAGAAGAGTCATGTTTTTTTGAAATTGCAAAGATTTTTGGCAATGGAAAATTGTATCCTGGTCAGCTGAGTTTAGTTCATAGAATGTAGGTGTTGCAGAACGCACGTGTTGTTTGAACTCTTCAGCCACCTGAGAAATTTGACTTGTGTGAAACCCCGTGCAGAACACAAAGCAAAATGGGCATCACTAACAAACGTGGAGTGATTCTTGAAATTTTCTTCCTCTACATCAGCACAAAGGAAACAGCAAACAAATCATCTTAATGTTTCCCTAGAGGCAAAACTTAAAGATACAATACTTGCTTTTTCACTTGAGCCATTAAAACTATTGTTTTGAATTCCAGGGCACAGAGTACTTTCCAAATGACTGAGAATTGTCAATTAGTGATAATAGTCTAGCATAATTGTAATTGAGATTATTTTTTCTAATGAGGTAAACTTGTTACAAAAAGAGACTATCTAAAGGTGTTCAAGATGGCACATTTAAGAATGATTTAATCTTTTTTTTTATTATTAATCGAAGTTCTTCACAAGACTGCTGGGTATCTGCTAGTATTGTGTTTAGCACCTTTGCCACTGTCTGAATTTTCAGGCTGCTAAAAATAAATTGTGCTTCTGAGTAGCTATAATTTGACATATTTTAATTTCACAGCTTAAGAAATGAACCAACTCTCTGCAGATTGTGTCCCTAGTCAGTCTGCCTCAGGAGCTTTGTCATTCCCTTGGAGGAGCAGCACGTAAATCTTTCAGATGTGAGAGAATCCAAAAGTGTGGATGCAGAGCAGAGTCAGTGCAGGAGAACTGGTGCTGATTCTCAGGTAGTGATTGATAGAGTTTGGGGCACTTTATTCCTAGAGCAGATGTGGAGAAAACTTGTCCAGATTCAGTCACAGTTTCTCGCAGATGAGACCCGTTGGTATTAACATGCTAAAACACCTCAGGCTCTGGCCTGGTTCTGTGATGTCCTTGTAATGTAAGGAGCTCTGTATTTAGAAAAATATTTATTTATTTTTAAGTATGCCTATAGCTGTTGAGTTAAACCATTGCCAGTAATTCAACTGTGCAATCCCTTCTTCTCAAATGAAGGGACTTTATGAGACCTCACAGGTTCCACAAAGTACTCATTAACTTTTACCACCTTTGATTTAGAAAGTTTCACTGTTTTGCTTTGTTTTTTTTAAATTGCCCAAACCCGTTGTCTGGAACTTTGTTTGGCACTTTAAGAGGAGCCTGCATGCAGTCTTCTTACCTTGAGAAGCAAAATCCAAAGAAATAATTCTTTTGAATTAGGTGTAGTCCCAGCCTCCAGCTGACAGCATAGTGACGATATAGTCCAGCAATGGGAGAGCCTAATGTCATGTGCTACAAATTTAGTTTGAAGTGCCGTTGCATCCCCTATTATAGATGGAACAGTAGTTTCTCACATGGAAAAAACAGGCAAGCAGAAAGACCAGAACTGCTTAACTCTGAGCCTTTATTTTTATCTTCCCCCAAGTGGATCTTGCGATGATGTGATCCACTGTGTGAGAAGAATGCATCTCCTGATCAGCCAAGTGTTAGTGCTGTGCAAACTTCTTGTATTTTTGTATCTTTGTGTTGTAAGAGTGCTGGATCTGAGCATTTTTTGTTTTATGCACTTCATATTGTTCCCTCTCTCTCACGTAATGCCGTCAGTAGTCTCTGTACATCTCCTAATACAAATGCTGTCATCTCTTTTCTGATCTACAGCAGAGGAGCTGAGCTCACTATTTGAAAAAAAGAATTTCAGAGTAAGATCTCCCTGTTCTGGGAAGCAGTCGATTCTGTCTGTGCGACTTGAGCAGTGTCCACTACAGCTGAATAACCCCTTCAATGAGTACTCAAAATTTGATGGCAAGGTAAGTGAACCTGACATTTTTCTTATATCCAAGTGGTCCCTGACCTGAAGGTGATGGGTTGTAGCAGTTCTTGCCTGTATTTACTTATTCAGTAGTTAATTTGCAGTTGTTATTTCGTGAAAGCTCAGTTTGACAAATACACTCACTTCCAACAGTCAAACATAGTGGAAGTAAAAATAAAATCAGTAGTTCTTTAAGGGCAAGTTATTATAGTTCAGTGGTGTCCCAGCTCTGTTGCTTTAACACCCACACCTCAGGTGAGCTCCCTGCTGCAGTTCTTCTCAGAAACTTGAAGAACTTAAGTGTGTTTCCTTCTATCTTTGATAATCCTAACTGCTTTTTACCATATTGATGTGAATTGTAGTTGACTGTAATTAACATCTTAATTTTCATATTTGTCCGATATATTTAGCAGGAGATTGTTCCATTTGAAGGATATTGTATTGCACAAATTAGTTTCAGATATTAATGAAATACATCAGTGTTACTCAATTGTGATGTGTAGTGTATGACATGAACCAGCTTGCTTGTGATTTAGAAACCAGAATACCTATTGAAGTTTCCAAAATATCTAAATTGACATTTTGCTAGTCTAAAACCGAGCTATATTAGTTATAAGAGCGCTATTTATTTTATTCAGGTTTTTCAATAGTGTGCTTATGAAATGTATCCTCTGCGCTTCCATGTGTGTTACCATCTGAGGTGGAGAAGAAACACGAATCTCGTTAGTGTCTGACTCTACGTGTGTCCATTCTGTTGTGTCTTCAGAACTGTGAAATCAAACTGTTAAATTTTTACATTATTTTTAATGAAATTCTGCAAGTCTTGTATTTATTTTCATTGATAATAGATAAGCAGTATTTTTCAGATAGATGCAATTCTTTCAGGGAATAGCACATGACTTATTTACATAATTAGCAGAGCCACGTATCTCTTGGGGAAATGGTACATAATTGGGGAGAGGCAGGAGGGATAAGGAGGGGCCAGGGGCCTAATTAAACATGTCTTTAAGAAAACCTACTTAATTATGTATTTACTCAGGAGATCACAGTGACTCTGAAATCTTTAAGGTTATAGCTAGGCCTTTGTTTCGGTCGGTCTGTTTTTTTAATAGATGGGTATTTGAGTATTGTAATGTGTTTTCAGCTGACTGAGTAACACCTGTGATTCACTGGGAAACCTCCAGGAAAGCTATTTACTGTTGTGAGTGAGCCTTGTTTGCTTCTGTACTCATCTTAATTGCGTGCAGCATGGTTTTACCTGACAGTAATTCAGTTCCCAACTGACCTGAAGTGGTATAAAACCATTTTATCCTGGGTCTTCCCCCTCTGCATTTGATGTATTATTTTAAGCTAATCAGTTAAATATTACAAAATATTGTGCACCATAACATCAACGAAGCCAATTTATTAAAATGCTTACATCTTGCAGGCGTTTTCTGCCAGATTTAGAGTCCTTTTCATAACCACTTCTGCAATTTTATGAAATAATAAAATTTTAGAGCACTCTAATTTCTTCCTGTTCTGATCAGTTCATTAATTACCAAAAAAGTAGAGAATATGGCTTGTGAAATGCAACTCCATTCCAAGCATTCTAATCAGCTCAAGAGTTCAGGTGAGTCTTGTCACATAGTTCCATAGGGCAGACTTGTGGCTTTTGTGTGCTTTGTAAAACTTCAATTCTTAGCCAGAAGATGCACTTAGTAACTATTCTTACCTGCATCTTTGAGTTCTTCCTTTATGAAGTTAATGTAAACCTAACCTCCACAGCTGCTTGCATGGTTAATGAATCTTGTGGGATATACCTCTTGCTTAATAAACCTCACAAACTCTTGCAAAGAACATTGTATGAAAAGTAGCCTTCACTTATTACTTAGGTTGTAATTGTAGAGAAGATTACTTGAAGGCTTAAGAAATCAGTGGTCGAATTGGTTTCCTTTATCTGCATGCAAACTACATTATCATACATTTTATACATAAGTTTTGGTATATGTTACAGTTTACAAGATTTGAAAAATCATATTTTCCTTGCTTACTGTCCAACTTGCTGACGACTGATAGGTTGGGAAAGTAAGACTGACTGTAACAAAGACTTGAAAGCCGTAGCCAGGCACCAACAATGAAACACCAGCAGCATCGTAATCACTTGTTTCAGTGACACAGCTGTGAGATTCACAACATTCAGCTTACCTATGGCTCCCAAAAAGGGAGGTTGTTGACTGTTGATTTTTAGGGATAAAGCTTTGTTGCAGAATCAAGACCTTAATTGCTCTGTTCCCTTATTTCTAAATGTAGAAAATGGGGGTAGTATTGTCTGCTGGCTTTCGCTAATTGTTGTTAAAGTGTCTGTTTTCATTTAATAGAAATTCAGGGTATATCTTTTCAAATCATGAGTGTGGCTTGCATGAGTTGATGGAAAGTAGGGTGATGAGACCTCTCTGAGATATTAATCTGAAAGAATACAGATTTGGTAGTATATTATGTCAAAGCTATTCAACCATGTGACTGTTCCTATTGGTAGGAAAAGCACTAGCAGGATGTGTTTAGTTACTGGAATAGGAGGAAATCAGGCAAGAATCAACTATTCAGCTTCACAGGAACCTGAATGAATAACTCTTGCTAAGGCCTCTCGTACAATTCCTGTTGAAGTAATCTTTGAAGCCATTCCACATCCATTCTTCTTCCAAGTCTGCTGCCTTTAAAAAATTCTCATCACTGAAGTGTCTTGTCAGTTCAATTTGAGATGCCTGTCACCACATGGCTGCTCTTACATCCCTAGAAGAATGCTGCCAAGCACCAAAGTGCTAAAGGACAGTCAAAAAGAAATGCTAAAGATATGCAAAATAGTTAAAGGAGAAAGTTGGAAGAAAAGAAGGAATCTTTGAGTCCCAGGCAAAGTTGATGTGCAAGGCCAAATACTAGCTGAAAATCAAGGTCTCATGAACTACTCTAGTTTATCTGTCTGACCTTATAGGGCCTTTGTAGGTTTACTTGACGACTGGAAAGAAGTTTGGCTGGACAGATGCTAAAAATCCTATTGCAAGGAATGGTATCTCTGCACAGCATCGCGAGTTGGTTTCTTTGTGGGTAATTTTGGTGATGTGTTAAAAATCAAACAATTTTTCTTACAGCAACTGTTTCAAAAATGATGCTGTAGCAAGCATGGGGGAAGGGATAATTCATGAGTGCTAATTGCTTGGCTGTTAATTTTCATAAGTGTTGATAGAAGCAGTTCCTTAAATTAAACTTTGTTTAAAATGTATCAGGGGAAATATTCTGCAATGTCGGGCCTGAAGTGAAAATTAATATGAATGCTGTGGCAATTAACACGTACTGGTTAATAGCTTTTAGCAGCATTTTGGGATGATAGTCCTTAAATACATTTTTGCATGCTGCTCTTGTTTCAGTCTTGTTTGCGTGCATTTCTGGATAATCACGAACAAATGTTTTCTGTGATCTCCAGAATTAGTTTCCCTCAAAGAAAGTAGATAAAGAACTTAGGAAAGAAGCAATAATGCTGTAATTAATGTGGATAATATTTAAAATAATCCAGGATTAAAATCTGTGTGAACTATTTTCTATTTAAATATTTTGCCCCTGCACAGAATTTTCTTCATCTGAAATGTTTGCAATTTTTTTAAAGCATTTGCTAGTTGTGGCAGTGTTAGTGGTTTCCACACCACCTGCACGCCGTGAAATAGTTGAAATAGAGGCGTCTGCCACGTTTTTATTTCTTGGGCTTTCAAAGAGTGTTTAGGTGAGCTGGGCCTCATCCTGCTGCCCAGCAGCACATGGCTGCCCACGGCCCCAGCCCTGGTGTGGCACTGGGGGATGAGGGCACACCAGGACGGGCACAGGGGCAGGCTGCTGCCCGCTGAGCTGCTTTCAGAGCCGCTCTGGGGCTGGTTGGCACCTGAGAGCCTTACTGGGAGCAGGCCGCTGTGTCACGTTTTCCCCTCGGGGTGCTGCAACATGGTGTAAAATTTGTCACCCAGTCAGGGTAGGGAGTGCTGCCCCTGGTGACAGCGAGCATCGCGGCCTCAGCAAGGCAGGCTTTTGTAGTTGTGCTGCACACCTGCTGTACAGAGCAACGCCCGTTGTGCTTCTGTGAAGATGGAGATTCTTAACTGAAAAATTAACACTTTATAATATAGGTTTTCTTTCAGAATACGTGATTACTCATGCTATTAGTTGAGTTGTATTTAAATAGAACACCCCTACGTTAGGAATACCAGGATTGTTCTTGATTTGTCAAAGGCAGAATGGTTCTTATGCCATTTCACCTGCCTTGCCGATGTGGGATGCGGGGCTGAGCCCCGCACTGACAGAGCAATTGGCACAGCGTACAGCGTACAGGCCTTGGGTTTCCATACAGTACTTAAAATAGATCAAGTTCTGCTGTTGCTTAATTTAAGAGAGTTCAGAAAGTGTTGTATTATTTCATATGGAACAGGAGGTGGGGAGATGCAGTGTAACGGCATTGAGCAGCCCTGAGCACAGCTGTGCCTCCTGCAGGCCCAGCGCCCTGCCGGCCCCAGGGAGTGCTGCTGTTCTGCTGCCGGCTCTGCTGGGGAGCATCGCTTTTATCTCCCAATTCCAGGCATCTCGCTCGCACTAAGAAATGGTTTTTTGGCCTTACAGAGATTAATTTTATGCGGATTTGGTTTGATTAACCTCTGTCTCTGGGGCGCATTCAATTTGCTTATCCCTCTTCTGTACCTCGCCTCCATCTTCTGCTGCTGTTGATTGCAGGTGCCCTTACCTAGGCAGCATTCCTGCCCTGCAGAGAAATCCCATGTGGAAAATAGGCCTGGTTTTGTTTGTGTCTCGATGCAGTCTGAACTGACAGCAGTGAACCTGTGGCCCCACTGGGATGCCGCTTCCCAGAGCACCTTGGTTTTGGGGCACTCTCATGTCAGGGGCGGTTCGTCGTATCGCCGCGCTTCCTCTTAAACTCTAAATAAAATGAAAGTAAGTTTTGAAGGCCTGCAAAGTATGCTA